CCCCAAAACCCCAAAACCCCAAAACCCCGTTAGAGAAGATTTGATCTCGAATTCGTGGTTATGATTAAAGTAGTAATAGAGAGAGATAATTGTTTAAGTTGATAGTACATGTAAATAAATATTGATAAGTACTTAACTTGATAAAAGATTAATAAAGTAAGAAGGTATTATTAATATAAAACCCATTATAATTGAGAATGAATAGCCTAAAAATTTCTAATTTCAAAGTCAACCGAACTATAAACAAAGGTGCGTTTGCATAAGTCTATGAAGTTAATGATACTGTCACTAATAAACTTCTTGCACTAAAAATTGTAAAAACTCTGATATTTATCTATGTCAATAGCAAAAGATGGACTAGATGTTTTACACAGAGGTGAAAATAATGAAGTCACTCAGAAAATATAATATTACAGGTAAAATAAATAAAAATACATCATTCTTTGGTTTAAATTTACTCTCTAAGCTCTCATTTATTTAATCTTTGAATCTAGGATTTCCAAGACTTGAGTAATATGGAAGTATTGATGAGGAACTAGGTTTCATTGCTATGGAGCTCCTAGGTCCTAACTCATTAGAAGTCCTAAGGAAGATAGAATCTAGAAAATCTAAGGAGAAACTATACGGACTACCATTAGCCTCTGTAATATCTATAGGCATCAAATTAGTAAGCTAACTTACGATTCATTTTCATTTAGATCTCAAGCCTAGAAGGAATGCATGAGACAGGATATTTACATTCTGATGTAAAACCAAACAACGTAGTTTTCGACTAGTTTTCTGAAATTGAGGATTTTTTCTCTATAGACCAGAGAGGCTAAGTTCTGTTAAATGATCGAACTCAGGTCTACTTGCTAGATTTTGGACTTTCAGAAGCCTATCTACTGGCAGATGGCTCTCATATAATTCAAGATAAAATAAATAGATAACTAGGAAATAAGTTCTTTATGAGTCTCTCTCAACTCAAGAAGAATGGTACACAATAATTTACTTAATTGATGAATCATTCTTTGTATAGTCTCAAGTAGAAAGGATGACCTTGAATAGTTGATATATACTCTGATATTTCTGGCCAAAGGGGACCTTCCCTGGAGTTTAAAGAGAAATTATACCACTTAAGATATAATTAAGGCTAAGAGCTGCAGCAGAATCATCGATATTCTTTTTTAAGATATCCCATGTATTCCATTTTTACTTTTTTATCAATTCTATAGTCCAATTTAGATAAGCTTTTGATTATGTTAAGAGTCTTTCTTTTAATGAGAGGCCAGATTACAATCACTTGATCAAGATCTTCAAATCGATGATGCAAACTTAGACTGTGGAGTACTTAGTCAGATCATGTCTTAAGCGACCAATCATTGTGACTCCTCGTGAGATCGATGATACCTTTGAATTTGAAAGGAAGAAGACTCATTCGCTTAACGAGTATAACCTAAATACAACAAACTAAGCTCTCTTTCTGCAGAGACAATACACTAACACGTACAACGAAATAGCAAGTTAATCAACCTAAATTTCACCATAAAATTTCAGTTAGATTAGCAGAAATTTGCCTTTGCCTGAGCAAGGACCGCTATATAAAAGAGATTCTAATAATAATTGTTGCCAAACTAGTGATGAACTTAGAAATGGCCTTTACGAAGAAAAGAAATCAATAAACCAGAGTAACAATACAGACAGAAGCTATAATTAATCACCGTATTCAATGAGCAACTCGAAATAATCAACTTAAAAATTTCCAATGACGATGGATGTAAACATGAGCAGAGAAGAAGAGTGCGTAAAAGTGGAGTCAGAGCATGGTGCTGGAGAAGAGGAAGAGGCACCTACTAGTCGATTCTAATCTATATACCGCAGATAGCCTAAACCTATGGATTTAAGAAGTCTTAGAGGGGGAGTTTTATGATCTTAATAACTGGAGCAAAAGTATTTTAGGTCAATGTAAAATATGGAATGATGAATACACTAATGTTAGTAAGCCTCAATAGACTACTGAATATAGATATATATTAATAGTTAATGAATGAATCTTTAATTTCAATCATTTAAATAATTTAGAAACAAAGAAGCAATATTTATATAATACATCATTCTTATATCCCAAATTTAATTACAGTTTGGGGTTTTGGGGTTTTGGGGAGATCGGAAGAGCACACGTC